ATTATATTATATTATATTTTTAATGATTTGATATAATTAAGTCTTGAATAATTTTCATATTTATTAATTTGAGGAATTAGATTGAGAGAGAAGATTTGTTAAGAAAATGTTGATTTATGTGGATTCTAAGTTAGCTATCCCATACAAGTTCTTCGAGATTTTCCATGGTTACCATTCGTTGACGTTGAATTAATTAAAAATAATGAATTCGATGATTTTAAGCACAATATAAAAAAAATAAGACAAATAGTCAAACACAACAAATTTAACTTCTAAATAAACATATTATAGTAATCAATGGAGAACAGAAAATACAATAAATTTATGGTTTAATACCTCAAAATATATCTCAAAATATGATCTGGTATTTAAGAATTTTTCGTTAAAAATATGTGTTTAATGTTCTCAACGTTATACTTTTAGGTGCATGGACTGTAATAGCCGTTAAATTTAGTCATTATCTGACATGTGTCACGCATATAAAATTTTAAAAATTATTTTATTAAAAAAACTTAATATTATATTAAAAACCAAAAAACCCCCTAAATTTTACATATTCTCTCGTCGATTGCCTATCGTCGATCTGTGTCCGTCACCGTTAACATCATCATAATCGTCTCGCCGTCGTAATCAAAACTCAATCTCCCACCCACTGTGAAATTACATTGATCGTCGTGAAAATGACGCTAAGGTTCGACGAATTTCAAAGTTTTCCTTTATTATTTTTCGATGATTTCGACGACTACAGTCTTCCGTACGTTACACGATCGTCACTGACAAATTCATTGTCCTGTTCTGAACAAAATCTGATCGGTGGTGACCTTTCGCCATAAGAGGTGGGGGATGGGAGGAAGAGGGACGATAAACCCTTAAAAGTGTAATAGAAAAAACATTACGTACTAATTTTTAATAAAAAAATATTTAGGCACTAAATCATATTTTAAGGTATAATTTAAACACTAAAAAGTATATTAAGCCTAAATTTAAAGGTATTGTTTGGGTGGAAGTGAATGGATGGAAATGAGTACCAACACTAATGGCGTCGATAGTAAATAAATTATTATTATTTCTTGAATTTTTTAATTTAATTATCAATTATATCAAAAATACAAACATTTAATTTTAAATTTTTAAGAATTGTCTTTAAATAAATATTACTTTATCCTATACTCATATTAATAAAAAGATGAACGGATGGAAAGAAGAACACGTATTCAAGAATGCACGTGCAAACATCAAATCCTAAGGTTGCCTTCTTGCAGTGGAAGGTACACTGCATTTATGTTTCAAATAGTCGGTCCATGCGTGCTTCTCTTCTTCTTAATAAATTGCTACCCATGTGGACGGTTAGACTTTACACTTACAAATTTTAATATAACAATAATAATTTCATTTAATACATCTTAAGATCCATCATGGTTTAATAATAATTCATTATTAATATAAATACAAGTAATTGAAGTTTTTATCGAAAAATCATCCTGACAGATTTTATTTACGTGTCAGATATCAATCAAAAAAATTTATTAATCTAACATAATTTGTAGAAAGGCGCAGATCATCATCCGCGTCTTACGCTGACGTGACACCATTTCAGATAAAGTACAGATGATGATCCGCGTCTTTTTGAGATTAGTGTTAAATCCGTAAAATTTTCAGAAACGTTGTCTGACAGATAATTAATTTTTTAGGGTAGTTTTTGTGTAAAACGTCACAAAATATTAAGGAAGTGGTTTTGTTTTTTTGGAAAAATATAAAATTTAATTAGCCAATCATTTTCATTTCCTATATTCTGAAAAATTAAGTCTTATAACCATAAAGAAAATCACGTGACTTTCACATTTATCATTATTTTCAAATAATTTCTTTCTTTTTTAATAAAATTTTTCATTAAATCCTGGATATAAGATAATAAAATATATTTTTTCTTCAATAAAAAAAAAAAAAATAGTGCCAATAAATTTTGTCTTTATCTCTTGACTTTGTCATTATTTAACCAATAAACAAGTGATGTTTACCTTAGACAAGACCGACGTTGACCTTAATAATTAAAATTTTATCATTGATTTTTCAAAAAATTATTTTTATTATTATATTTTTAATTTGTTTTATTTTGATAATTAAATCATTAATTTGTATTCTTTTATTGACATCACACATTAATAAAAAATTAATGAGTTAATGTTAGTGAACCTTTAAATGTGTGTCATCCCCTTAAGCATCGTATCCCCTTAAACCAGCCGTGGTTTATAAGAATTCACTAATTATTCATTGAATCAGCGTATCAGAAACATATTATAATATAGATTTATAAGAATTTTATACTCGATATATATATATATATATATATATATATATATATATATATATATATATATTATCTCAACGTATCTAAGAATAACTTTGAAGCTCAATTAAATTTAAAAACGTAATCAACACAAAAATATTGGTTAAATAATGACAAAATCAAGAGATGAGACAAAGTTTATTGGAACTATTTTTCATTATTATTATTATTATTAAAGAAAAAAGGTATTTTATTATCTTATTTCTACGATTTAATGAAAAAATTTATTAACAAAGAAAAAAATTAATTATTTGAAGAAAATGATAAGTGCGAAATATACGTGATTTTCTTTATGGTCATAGGATTTAATTTTTCAGAAAATAGAAAATGAAAATGATTAACTAATTAAATTTTATTTTATTTTCCAAAAAACAAAATAAATCTACTTTCTTAATATTTTGTGACATTTTTACGCAAATATCACTCTAATAGAAATTAATTAAATGTCAGACATTTGTAAAAAAAAATTACAGATTTAGCACCCATCTCAGAAAGGCTGAGTTGGCGCCATATCAACGTAATGCATGGATGATAATTCGTGCCTTTCTTCAAAGGATGCTAGATTAGTAAAATTTTCTAAAAAGGTATCTGACACGTAAATAAAATCTGTCAGGGTATTTTTCGATAAAATCGCCCAAGTAATTAGCACTAACCAAAAGACTTCAACTATAAAAGAATTGTTGTTATTGCTTAATATTTCGAGTTCGAGGATCAAGAATACATGATATGAACATTTAATATCAAATGATTGAGATGTATAACTTAAAAACCTGACCTGACCCGAAATAATAAAAATTTTATTTTTATTCAATAAAAACAGTGACTTAATTGAAAAAAAATAATATATAAAGGGGTATTATTGTAATTATTCCTAAATATGTAAGGTAAAATTATATATTTTCGGGTCGGGTCAATTTTTTCACCCTAAACCAGAACCTGACCCGAACCCAATTTTTTTTAAAAAAAATCCGATCCGATCTGGTCGGGTCGGAACTCATCGAGTTCGGGTCCCATACCCATCCCTATCAACAACTACATTAAATTAGAACTAGAACTAACTAGAAAATGCATACATAAATGTAAAGTTAGACTGAATATGGATATTATAAGTTAAGTCCTTAAGTTGGTATCACGAATTAAGTAAATACTAATTCAGTTAAAAAATATTAAAATATTCATTTTTAATAAATATTATTATGATTTTACTATGTCTTTTCTTATATTTATATTAGATTTTGTGAAAAATGCAAAGTATGTGAAAAATATTATGTATTAAAAAATATATTTTAAAGTTTATTAAATAATGGTCGTAGTTTCATAGGTAGAGTGATAAAAGAATTGGCATAACACCATATATAGCTTCCAACATTTACTAAAATAGTCATTTTATTCTATATTTTATTTTTTGGAGTATTTTAGCCATCAATATTTTATTTTAGGGTAAAAAGATTCTTAACATTTGACATAATAATCACTCTGTCTCTTATTCTTTTTTTCAATGGTATTTTAGCCCTCAACATTTCATTTTAGGTTACAAAAGACTCCTATTTGGAGTGTTAATCGTGTGTTAACTAATGATTTTTATCTATATATGAAGTTTTTTTTGCCTCAAAGTGAAACTTTAACTACAAGAAATTTCGATTGTTTCAACAAAATTATTTATTACTAAAAATATTAAATTTGTCACGATATATTTATTCCTACAGATTTTATTTGTTACCATGTTTGTTAGAACAACCTTATCATGTAAAGTATATTGTGACAAAATTGTGTTTGTTACCATTGTATAGTATTTATTGTAACAATAAAATTTTGTAACTATAATTAACTTATCACAATAAAATATTTGTCACTATCAATTAACCATTTTATCAAGAGGAGTACATTTTGTCACAACTAAATTATATTTAAACATCAAATATAAAGAATTTTTGTGACGAAAATACATAAGACAACAACAATTATTTTGTTGCAGTTGCTATTTCGTCATTAAATATAACTTTCAAAGACAAAATATTTTTTAAAATAAAATAAGTATTTTATCACAAAAAATAAATTTCGTCATAATTAACTTAAATTATAACATCAAACAAAAAAGTTTTCATGACAAAAAAGACATATTACAACAAAATTTATTTTTTCACTACAAGAAATTTCGTCACTAAATATTTTTTATAACTTTTTACTGTGACTAAATTATTTTGTTTTAATTTGTTATTGTGAAAAAAATATTAATTGTAACAATTTTTTATAATAAGTAACTAATATTTGTTATAATTTGTTATTTTGATTAAATAAATTTTTCATAATTTTTCATTTTGATGAAATATTGTGACGAAATAAATTTGACATAACTTTTTATTTTGATTAAACTTAACGTGTTATTGTGACTAAATCATTTTGTACAATTTTTATTGTAAAAGATTATTAGTTTTCACAATTTTTTATAATGAAAAAATTAATATTTTTTTAAAAATTATTATTTTGATTAAATAAATGTCACAATTTCGACAAAATATTGTGACAAAATAAATTTGATATACATTTTTATTCTGACTAAATTTACTATATTGTGAAAAACAAGTTGTGAAAAAAAATACTGTCGTCTGGGATCCTTCACCAAACAAAGAAATTAAAATAGCTAAAACTATACAGAAAGAATAATCAGGTGTACCATCGATTCTTCAACTCCTTCACCAAATCGTAGGGCAAGATCACAAAGGGCTTGTGTTGTGGTCCTGTGGACTCAACTATCATTGGCTTACCTTACGAGAATCTGTGGCTCTGCATGAATGTGATAGATATCAACATAAAAGTTACATATGAATTCATATCCAAGTGTAACAACACTAATAAATACAGTACCTGAGTCTCAACTCCTGCATGTTCAACAAGGGTGCGTGCATCAGCAATCAACCCACTCATAGCACATCCTGTATGCTCATCAATTTCCATAATTTTCTCAACACTGCTGGATTCCTGACAGAGGATCAAGTATCAGTTAGGCCTGAAAAATGTGCAACCAACCAACAACTTTCCACACAATCAAATACATATGACAAGGGACAAACACAAGATTTTATGTTTGAGGGGACGAACCTATAAAAATTTAAGGGAAACAATGAATAAATAAATAATGACAGAAGCTAGTTTAATATACTGAACACTTCTTAGATATTAAATTACACGAATCTGTTAGCAGATTATTAGAGTCAATGTTCATGGGAATACAGGAGGAAATGAGAAATAAGCAACTCAGAACTCCATTGCCTATAATATTCACCTCCAGAGTAATGAAGATTAGCCAACATTCACATGTATTTAATTCAAGAGTGTTAAAAGAGACTCCAATTATACCCTGGCCAACTATAACTCCGTTCTAACAGTTAAGCAAACAAGACACGACAATGCAAAGAAAAAAGCCTTTTTTCCGCAATTGCAAACAAGTACATAACAGAAATAATTTACAGACAAAATAACATTTAATCAAGCAAGAGTGCAGTGCATACCAACAGTGGCGAAGTAATACGCTTCTCGACAGCCAGCACGACACCTTCTTTTGCCTTCAACCCAATTGCAGTTGAACCCAGCTGCAGTCCAATTCCCCCAAAAAAGAGGGGTACACCATTTACATTAAAACACACCCAGAAATTTAAATATGCTAATCCTTGAGAAAACTATAAGAGGGGGGTGATTTTCCAAGGAAACAAACAAAAAATGATTTTACCCTGATGGCTTCGAGCTCGTCCATTGGAGATTAGGTTTGCCCTTCCTTCACAACATTAAATTTCAATAAATTACGGTCCTAACTTCGGACTCCGGATACCAATGCATGTAAGGTCGAGTCATAAGAAGTTCAATGTCCTTTAACCAAAAAATTACTTTGGATTTCTGGCAGAGTTGAGTTCAACTTTCTCCAATATTATATATAACATGGTGGTTAAAGTGTAGAATGTAACATACAAATTTTCCAGATAAGAACTAAGTGAAGTGCTGCACTCGGAATTGTAGACGCTCATTTTCTTACTATTTTTTTTTCTTTTTCCAAAAAAAAAAATAGAACTAATAAGAGTTTCTCTCCTAAGAGGACTCTTCTCAACCATATCTTTTAACAATCACCTTACCCCATGAAATCCAATATCCCACTACAACACAACTTCCTCAAGAATCCCATACAATTTGGACTCTCACCATCATCTCTTATACATCCCTATTTCAACTCATCTTCACACCTTGTAAAGGGGAGGAAAATTTCTGAAAAAAAAAACAGCAAAAAAAAAAAAGAATTTTGAGAAGAGAAATCTGAGCAAAGAAAAAGAAAGAGCTCTATAGATCGAGGGAGGTAAAACAAAAGCATCAAAGTGGTGAACGAACTTTTAAGTCTTGAACGCGCTAGCGTTCAACATTGAATTTTCAGGCTTAAAGAACAAAATCGGAATTTGAAACTACTTTCTTGGTATATCTGCACGTTTTTTGGAGTTTGCGTGATTAATGGTTTAATGTTTTCATTCGTCTCTAATTTGCTTCGTTGAACTTGGGTTTAATTGCTCAATTCATTTAATCAAGATCCTTGTTCTGATAAATGTTTGAATGGTGGTATTTATCAAATTGATTTTGCCCTCAATTACATGGTTGCTTTTTAATGCTTTTTTAGTTTGATTTTGAAACGTGTCTTAATTATTTATTTCCTTGATTAGCCAATTGTGGATTAACGTGATTAATGTGCGTAATTGGTGATCAGATTTCAACAGCTTGGTTAATTAATTTGTTCTCGACATGTAGTTTTTAATTTTAATTTCCATAGTTGATTTGCACGAAATAGAATATGCCATTAATGGCTTTAGAATTTAACGTCTTGATCCATATTTGAGCATAACTTTTAATTCGTAATTAAAACGTTAATTGGTTCATTTTGGTATAAACTCGCATGACTAAAGTTATTTTTGGCCTGTATCTTTTGATTAGGTTTTGATCTCCATGATTGATTAGTATTTTTTAAAACAATTTATTAATGGAATAATTGGATTTAAGTTAAATAATTAATATTGTTAAACTCACATTATTTATTAATTGGTTTTAATTGACTTTAATTTTGACACCTAGACACTCACATTAATTATTCTTATTCGTAATTGGACTATAGGGAAATAATTTTATGATTCAATAATTATCTCTCTTTTGGCCTTAATTAAGAATTTGAATAATAATTTTGATGCATGTTGTTGAAATTTGGTATGTTTAAATCAAATATTTTTAACTTTTTTCGGTAGTAATTCCAACTAATCCAAGGTAAGTAATTCGGATCGATTTTTTTAAATTTAAATTTAAATTTAAATTCTAATTTTCGCAATTAAAGACAATCGACAAATTAATTGGTATCGAAAGGGCTGTTCAAGGATGTTAATCCTTCCTTGACCGTAACCGACTCTTGAACCCGACATAACTCTGATAAAACACATATTAGATAAGATGGTGTCCGATTTACCTAAATTTTATTTTTAAAACGATCGGTGACGACTCCAATCTGTTTTATCCAAGTCGAAGCCCAATTCCGGGTCCAACCGAAAGATGACTGCGACAGCTTGACGACTCCGCTGGGGATAGGTAAGTGAGTCAGACCATAATTAATTTTCAGTTGTCTTTTTATGCGAAAATAGTAAATTTTAATTTTAATTTATTTATTCGGTTCCAATTATTTAACTTTGATTATTTTTCAAATAAATAGTTATACTGACATTTTTTCCAATGATTTAAGATTTTTGAAAAGCTTTTATCTCTGACTCTATACTCGAGCTCCGAACCCTTTTTAAGTGGGGATAAAAACGATGCCTTCGTGAGAATTTATTCTACGTGCGGACCTAGCAAATAACCTTCAGGTTTCATATACCTTATGTCTTCGTGTGAATTTATTCACCGTGTGGGCATAAGAGAATGTTTCCTCTCGAGTTTAACTTAATCCACATAAGCTTGTAATGGACTTAGGATTAAGGGTCTGGCAAGCCCAAGGGGGCACCAGCAAGGAGAAATCGGTTACCTTTTTTTTAGAACTTAAACCGGGAGACTACAAGGAGTTAAAGCCCACCCCAAAACCTCATTTCAAACCCTAAACTACTTCGATATTATTTCCTGCTTTATTTTCTATTCAAAGCATGTGAACTAAAAATTTATGCGGTTAGGACTTGTTCAAAATCAACTTGCGGGATAGAGATCATGTCCGGGTAGGAATTAAAGCATGTAGATATATATCATGTGGGGTAGGACTTTTATTTTCATGTTTGTTTTTTATCTTTACCTCACTAACTCTTTCTATTTTTGTTCTCTTTAATTTTATTTTTTCATCTTTTGCATAATTCATTCAAAAGGGGTGTTGATCTACAAAAAACGTGTTCGTTAAACATAAATAATTTGCATTAATGGACAAAGGGGTTATAATACAAGAGGTGAAAAACACAAAAGTCTGGTTCAAAAGGGTCCGGGATTTACACTGTGCACATCAAAAGTTGACTTTTCGAGCTGACAAAGGTTGCAGGGGCAAGACAAGAAAAGGTTATTGACCTAAAGAGTCCCTTCAAAGATAACAAGAACAAGACGGTGAAACCCTAACTAAGCTGGAGGCCACTATTGACAAATTCAAGAAGCAAGCTTTGGATAGTTCCTATCGATGGAGGACTCCAATGACACTTTCGTTAGGAACAGACTCAGCAGAGAGTGAAAGCCGGAGATGCAATCATTCGAGATATTTTTTGGGCATGCAGCTCGTCACTTGCACGGTTTAGCCAGAGAAGCCGGAGCGGTTCGACAGGGTATTCAACTCAACCTGTCAGAAGATGTTCGGGGTCTATACCTTTAAAATATTTTTTCTCTTAAGACATAACACTTTTGTCCCCAATAAGGATTATTTATAATAACAGACACATTTTTTTGATCAATGCCTCAAACATTGCATGCATTATGCATTTAAACATATTTTACATTTTGTTATTTTCATTTCTTTACATTTACATTAACTAACAGAAGCATGTCTCCTCGAAAGGAACAAACATTGGATACACCACCTCAAGCAATAACACTAACAAAACAGAAATTTGTGCGTCCGAGGATATTTCATAAGAAGCCGTGACAAATGAAACAATTGAGAAATGGGAAGAAAGTGCTTTTGAAGGCCCTAATCCTCGATATTTTGGAAATAATAGGGCATCCTAATGGGGATTTATTTCATTTTGCAGTATCCTGTTTGGACTTGTTTTTTTGAACTTTCTCATATTTCTTTTTGAAACCTGCCTTTAAAATTTGACATATTTCTTTTTACGAGGATATTTCAATGGATTTACGTTGAGCATTGAATCAAATTTACAACTTGAAATTCTTTGAATATCAGCTGAATTAAAAAACTATGTAAATGATTCAGAGTTACAGATCTTTGTCAAAATAACAAAATAAGGACTTTACCCCGAAAAAGCTCGAACACCATACTTTTCCCTTACAAGAACCGATATAGCCTTCTCCTCTCATAAAAGGCTGAAAAGAGGCTTGATATTTAGATGTGCATAGGTGCGGACAACATGGGACATCTTTTGCATATGACATTTCTATATTTTTTGTTTAAGACGTTCAGTGATGATAATGATCTTCATAGATGGAATAGTCGAGTAAGCAAATCTAGTTTAGGTTAATTGTCTAGAAATTGAACTATAAAGATGAGATTTCTTGACTTTCAAAAAACACCTAGACTATAGCATGTTCTTCTTGAGAAACTTAAGAAATTGAACCCGTATACCCATATTATAATATTACATATATACAATAAAGCTTGAGTTGTCCCTCTAAAGCAATTGGTTAAACACCCCGTCTTTATGGATAAGATTTAGCTAAGCCTGGTAAAGGTGATTATAATATACAATAAAGCGTGAGTTGTCCCTCTAGAGCAATTGGTTAAACGCCCCAACTTTATGGATAATATTCTGCTAGCCTGATAAAAGTGATTATAATATCTATACAACGATATTAAGTTGTCCCTCTAGATCAATTGATTAAACGCTCCGGCTTTATGGATTCAGCTAGCCAGACAATGGCAAATTTAAATAAAGAGTTTCGATAAAAATGGACTAAAGGAGTTAATGAACACCTGTTATAGTCAAATTCACACGAGCACTCAAGAATTTCATTTTTAGACCGATATTTATGCATTACCTTTATTAGAGGAACCTACGAAGCTTGAACAAATGAAATGTCTCAAAGAACTGAAATAGAAGGTCTAGTAATTGATCATGCTAATTGCGTCATTTTATCCGCATCCAATTAAAATGCCAAGCCAATCGATGACCGAAAAAATGATTTTTTTATGGCTGAAGCTAACCTAAAACCAACTCATCCATTTGAACATTTGTCAAAGAGCTATAACTCTAAAAGAATGAAAGAGTTATTGATTCTTTTGATATTCTTTGAACTCTTGTTTTATGATTTTGCTTCAATTGTGAAACCTAGAAAGAAGTAACATTTTCAAAAATTCTTTTCGATAATTTTCAAAATTTTGAAAATAAGAAGAAAAAACATTTTCAAACAAGATAAGTTCTCTGGAAGCATATCTTGAAAATCAACGATTATCTCTCCGAAGCTCAAGATTGAAGCTGGGGCAAGAGAAGCCAAATTTTGGGGTAAAATTTGGAGCAAGAAAAACAAATTATCTCAAGTTTAGGTTTGCAATAGTACACCTTGGTAGAAATTAAGACAAACTGAGTCAGGTATATAATAAACCCAGCTCACACAACCATTCCCCTCACATATCAACATATACATCAACACATGCATACATGACGCATGAAATTTGCATATTTGCATTCATCACCATGTGCAATAAAGACCTTAATTTTTCCTCTATTGAAGACAAATTCAATAAAACAACAAATAAATTTCATCTTGGTATACATCAAACATCCATCATCAGGATAGTTACATCCGGATACATTTTACAGATCTTTCAGGAGAAAATGAGATTAAAAGACAACAACATTTCTAATATAAATTTTGTCTCGCTTGAGACAATCTCATTTAATGCAGATGATTTTATCTCACTTGAGATTATTTTTCTTAAAACAGACTTTGTCTCACTTGAGACAGTTTTACTCGAAAGAAGACATTTAATTTGACTCATGATTGTTTCTCTTAAAACAAAATTTATCTCACTTGAAACAGTTTTTACTCGAAACAAGAAGATTTATTTCACTCAAGATTATTTTTCTTAAAACAAGATTTGTCTCGTTTGAGACGATTTTCACTCGAAAGAAGACATTTCATTTCACTCAAGACTGTTTTTAAAGAAGATTTTATCTCGCTTGAGATAGTTTCCCTCGAAATAGAAGATTTTGTCTCGTTTGAGATAGTTTCCCTCGAAACAAAATATTTTCTCGCTTGAGATAATTTCCCTCGAAACAGAAGATTTTATCTCGATTGAGATAGTTTCCCTCGAAACAGAAGATTTTATCTCGCTTGAGATAATTTCCCTCGAAACAGAAAGTTATCTCCCTTGAGACAGTTTCCCTTGAGACATTTTCCCTTGAAACAAAATTTTGTCTCCCTTGAGACAGTTTCCCTTGAGACAGTTTCCCTTGAGACAGTTTCTCTTGAAACATAAACTTTGAAAACATTTCCGTTGAAATGAATTTTGTCTCTCTTGAGATAGTTTCCCTTTAGACAAATTTTGTCTCCCTTGAGACGGTTTCTCTTGAAACATAAACTTTGAAAATATTTCCCTTGAAGCACAAAATATTTGAATCAGTTCCCATTGAAACAAGTTTTGAATTAGTTTCCCTTGAAACACCCACATTTGAGATTGTTTCCCTTGAAACATGTTTTGTCTCTCTTGAGACAGTTTCTCTTGAAACACTAACCTTTAAGATTGTTTCTCTTGAAACAAATTTCGTCTCGCTTGAGACAATTTTCCCTTAAAACAAGAAATTTTATCTCACTCGAGAGAGCTTTTCTTAAAACATATTTCTTATTCATTTTCAACTAGATGTTAAATATTTGACAAGAATTCCAAAGTTAGCAGAGATTTCATTACACAATTCCATGTTGAAGTAGAAGATTTCAGGAAAGAATCAATTCACGTCTTCATTTTTGAAAGAATTGGATCGCAACAAAGATTCGAGAGCCTTCGGGTCAATGCCTTCGGCTACTTCAAACACAATTATTACTGACACATGATAATCTTTTGCAGGAGGTAGATCAACACCAACATCTTCGTTCGATTTCATCATAGAAGGAGGTGGATCGACATTTTTATGTTCACTCAAATCCATCACAGAAAGAGTTGAATCAACACCTCTCTTGAGGGATCAACATTTCTGGAAGAAAGATCATGATGAAAAAAAAACTGCAACTTGAAGAACTGAAGATGAAGACTCAACCAAGAGAACGAAGCAAAGATGACATCATTTACAACATAACTCAAAGCTAGAAGGGTTATCTGCCAACCAAAGACCTTCGAATTTGACTACGCTCAGCTCTAAGCCACTTCATTTGCAGCATAACTCAAGGCTAGAAGGGTTATCTTCCAACAGAAGACCTTCGAGTACACTCAGATCAAAGACACATCATTTGCAGCATAGCTCAAGGCGAGAAGGGCTATATGCCAAAGACCTTTGAGTTCAATTACACTCAGCTCAAAGGCACATCATTTACAGCATAACTCAAGGCAAGAAGGGTTATTTGTCAACAAAGTTTTCGAGTTCGATTCCATTCAGCTCGATGACACATCAATCACACTACTTTTCGGTGGTAGCCGAGGTTTTCAAGTCGAGAAGAAGACTTGAGTTAGCCGTGCCTTAGTGACAAGAAACCATCTTCCAGCAACATAAAATAAGTCGAGAAAAGCTATCTGTCAACGAAGATTTTTGAGTTCGATTTCGAGTCTATTGACCACATGGTGGAGCCAAGGAACTATTTCCAGTCAAATTTCTAAACCCCGATCTTTAAACCGAGAAGAAGACCAAGGTGGACTGCAATTTGAAGCCACATCCTGATTCCGAACTACGGCTTCAATTTCATATCATTTCAAGATGGAAGAGTCATCCACAAATCAATTCGACATGGAATTATTCTTTCAGAGTCAATTTTTCAGCTCCAACGAACGAAAATTTGTGTCATTTTAATTTTGTCCTATTTGTTCGTTCCACGAAAAATGACAAAGAGGGACAGCTATATACACTCATTTTTTTACTATTTGTTTGTTTTTTTCTTTTTCCAAAAAAATAGAACTAACAAGAGTTGCTCTTCTAGGAGGACTCTTCCACCACCATATCTTTTAACAATTACCTTATCCCATGAAATCCAATATCCCACTACAACTCAACTTCCTCAAGAATCCCATACAATTTGGACTCTCAACATCATCTCTCATATATCCCTATTTAAACTCATCTTCACACCTTTCACACCTTTTAAAGGGGAGGAAAAATTCTAAAAAGAAAAACAGCAAAAAACACAAAATTTTGAGAACAGAAATCTGTGCAAAGAAAAAAAAAACTCTATAGATCGAGGGAGGTAAAACAAAAGCATCAAAGTGACGAACGAACTTTTAAGTCTTGAACGAGCTAGCGTTCAACATTGAATTTCCATACTTGAAAAAGGTAACAGAATCGGAATTTGGAACTACTTTCTTGGTATACCTGCATGTTTTTGGGATTTGCGTGATTAATGGTTTAATGTTTTCATTCGTCGCTAATTTGCTTCGCTAAACTTGGCTTTAATTGCTCAATTCATTTAATCAAGATCCTTGTTCTGATCAATGTTTGAATGGTGGTATCTATCTCAATTACGTGATTGCTTTTTAATGCTTTTTTTAGTTTGATTTTGAAACGTGTCTTAATTATTTATTTCCTTGATTAGCCAACTATGGATTAACGTGATTAATGTGCGTAATAGGTGATCAGATTTTAGCAGCTTGGTTATTTAATTTGTTCTCTACATGTATTTTGTAATTTTAATTTCCATAGTTGATTTGCACGAAATAGAATATGCCATTAATGGCTTTAAAATTTCACGTGTTGATCCATATTTGAGCATAACTTTTAATTCGTAATTAAAACGTTAATTGGTTCAATTTGGTATAAACTCGCATGACTGAAATTATTTTTGGCCTGTATCTTTTGATTGGGTTTTGATCTCCATGATTGATTAGTATTTTTTAAAACAATTTATTAATGGAATAATTGGATTTAAGTTAAATAATTAATACTGCTAAACTCACATTATTTATTAATTGGCTTTAATTGACTTTAATTTTGACACCTAAACACTCACATTAATTATTCTTATTCTTAATTAGACTATAAGAAAATAATTTGATGATTCAATAATTATCTCCTTTTTTACCTTAATTAAGAATTTGAATAATTATTTTGATACATGCTGAAATTGGGTATGTTTAAATCAAATATTTTTAAATTTTTTTCGGTAGTAACAACTAATCTAAGGTAAGTAATTCAGATCAATTTTTTTAAAATTTTAATTTAAATTCTAATTTTCGCAATTAAAGACAACCGACAAATTAATTGATACCAAAAGGGCAGTTCAAGAGTGTTAATCATTCCTTGACCGTAACCGACTCCCGAACCCGACATAACTCTGGTAAAACACAGATCATGTAAAATGTTGTCCGATCTACCTAAATTTCATTTTTAAAATGATCGGTAACTACTCCAATCCATTTTATCCAAGTCAAAACCCAATTCCGGGTCTAACCAAAAAACGGCCGCGACATGAACCAATCTTCACATATTGCGCTTGCCGCGTTACTTCTATCTCCGATATAGTAACCTCTACAGTCTTTTGAATGATATACATTGGCAGGATTAGTAAGCAATCTCTAGTGTTTTGTTATAAAATTGTTAGCTAATTTGTCATATTAGTCATGGGAAAGTTTGTCATTTGATTAGGCTCTAAGACGGGGAAATTTATTGCTATAATAACAAACTATTAAGCATCCAACCTAAAAGCAATTGACAGTAAGTGGAGAGACTTAACTTGAATATAAACTAGTTGACAGTAAATCGAAAATGGAGACGCCAAACTTGAATTTAACACCATGGGAAACCGATCTTTTTTAACAGATTTGGTAAGGGTTGTTATTAATTTATACCTTCCAACTGTAACGCTCACAGAGCAATTGCAGAGCATTAGAGCAGCATAATCTGACTTCTTCGTCACAATCATTGAACCACTAATAGAATTAGTTTAGAAAAAAAGAATGAAAGGGATTAGAAACCTCGCCCTTTTTAAGATTATAACTGAAGAAAAATGGACTTAAATTAATTGATCATATAATTTCATTACTTACCTCTCCATATCTTGCAAGCTTGATGTTTGATATTTGATTTTTTGAGTTCAGCAACGGAAAATACACTTTTGGCTGGTAGGTTATCCGTATTCCAACCATTCCGACTGTCCAGTTAAGAGGAAGAACACTGGAACGAACATATGCATTTTCAGATATTGCTTAAATTTAACACCTAATGGAACTCAGAATTGTTTTACGTAAACAAGTTCTCACCCTGACTGTGGTATGCATCCAAAAGTCGGTTTGAACCCGACAACGCCAGAAAGGGATGCAGGCATTCTCACAGATCCTACACAGAAAACATATATAAAGTGCGTAAACTAGTCCATGGATAATGAAATTCTAGTTATTAATATGTATTCTAACTTTCTTAAGCAGTTGTCCAATGTTAAAGATGATTTAGTCAGAATTCATTTTGTTTAATTTTGTCAACAGTGTTTGGTTGTTTTCTCACTGAAGGACACTCTTTACCTCCTCCATCCACACCGAGGGAAGCAGGGCATAATCCTGCTGATACTAATGCTGCAGATCCACTAGAAGAACCACCAGAGATTCTGCTGGGATCATAGGGATTTCTTGGAGCCCTGCAACATTCACAGAGTTAAACATATCACCATCTTTCATGTTTCTGAATAGAAAGAAATTACACAAGATAAAGAAAAATGTTACATTTAGTCAGGTTTGTTTCCTGTATATTAAGTCTTATCTATGAGACTTCATGTGCAGAAAAATGGAAAAAGAAACGGTAATTTTGGGTTATGAAAGGGTCAGGTCTCACCCGTAGTGAGGATTTGTCCCACTTTGTGTAACTCCAAGCTCATGCATATTGCTCTTTCCAACAAGTATAGCACCACAGGATCTGAGTCGCGCAACACAGCATGCATCATCGCATATTATTTTTCTCGTTACTTGGATCTTGGAGACTGTTCTTCCTTATATATGCCCACAGCTGCTGCACAATCTAAATCAAGCAGAGACAGATGTTTTTAAGCAACAAAATCCATGCATGCAAATTTTCTTTCTTTCTTTTTTTTTTGGGGAGGGGGGGTGGAGGGGGGAATGAATGCTACTAAAGTTTTTAATCCAAAGTTAGCCGGCACAGAACTAGCGGATGCAGCATGCTCGGAATCGGAATTCTCGGGGCAATCGGAACCGAAATCAGAAACAGAGGTGATGTCTTCACGGGTGTCAAAAAATTTATCTTCCTCTTCGCTTACACTTCCCATCATTAAATCATAAATTTCGACCCATGAAAACTCACCCTCCTCACCAAAAACTGTCTTCTCAGAAAAACCCTAGGCAATGTTTTAAATTCCCTACAAGTAGAAACGGAAAACAAAACATTAAAAATCCCAAAACAGAATAAAAAGAACCGTTATAAAACTAATATAAAACCCAGATCCCAATTAAAACTCTGAAAACTAATAAAAAAACATAAAACCAAACAGGTTAACAAATAGATCAGTGCAAAGTGAAACAAAGCAATTGAGAGGATTAAAAAAAAGGGTATGAAGGGAGAGTTAAACAAGATCAGTATCAACAAAATAAAGAAAGGTAAGGGGATTGGCACCTGGGTTTTTTGATGAAAACTTCATCAAACCCAATATAACGCTTAATCATATCAGCACCTTGGCACCTTCTAGTTCCGCCATGGGGATTTCCCGTTGTTTCTCTCTCTTTCCCTCGATGGAGAGAACAAAGGGAATCGTGGCTTTAAAAGATAAATAAATAAATGAGACACTAAATGAAAGTTGAAGTACAAAAAGTAGGAAAAAGAGAATCTCGAGAGAAGTGGAAACGGATGACCATGGCCCGATAAACGGGGATTGTATCTGGAAAAGTAGGTTAATAGATAGTTAATATACGGCGTTATCGGATATATTATAATATATTTAATAAATTTAATTTAACGTTATTTGAAATATCGAGTAATAATAATGTTGTAGGTGGAAATCATGAAGAAAATATTAAAAAATTTGGCAATTGATAAACTTAGCTTGTCGGTTTGTGTCGATACAAATAAAAAATTTATTGATCCATAGCCATGTAACATGTAAAAATATGATAAAATCGGTATCATTATTATAAAACCGGTAAACTGCTACCGGTTATATTGAAAGTGTCAATAAATTAATATAAGTATCGACACTTTTGTAATTTAAAAGAGAAGAAGTTATAGCACTTATAAAGTGTCGATACTTTATACAAATGTATCGATCCATAGCAATATAACAGGTAAAAATATGATAAAACCGGTATCATTATGATAAAACCTGTAAACCGCTACCGGATATATTGAAAGTGTCGATAAATTAATATAAGTATCGACACTTTTTATATTTAAAAGATAAGAAGTTATAGTGCCTAAAAAGTGTCGATACTTTATACAAATGTATCAATCCATAGCAATATAACAGATAATAATATGACAAAACAGGTCTCGAAATGATAAAACCGGTAAAAAGCTACATGATATATTGAAAGTGTCGATAAATTAATATAAGTATCGACACTTTCGTAATTTAAAAGAGAAGAAATTATAGCGCCTAAAAAGTGTCAATACTTTATGAAAATGTATCGATCCATAACAATATAATAGGTAAAAATATGACAAAACCGATATCGAAATGAAAAAACCAGTAAAGCGCTACCAGTTATGTTGAAAGTGTCGGTACTTTAATAAGTACGCGTAAAAAAGTATCGACACTTTAAAAGAAACAAGTAAATATCATATCGAAAGTATCAACACTTCACATAAAAGTATCGACACTTAGGTAATTGTATCGATTAAATATAAATAACATATCCTGTGTAAATATAAAAGCATAGCTAAATTTCCTCTGAAAATAAATAGTTTTTGAAATCGAAGTGTAATTGTTACTGCATTTCAGAAGGCGTTTCTACGTTGAAGTTTGTTTGTTTGTTGTTGCATTTCAAATCGAAAGGTACGTTGTTGAAACCATAGTTTTTTATTATTACAGTAATTAGGGTTTTTATGTGTTGTTCTTTGGGGTTTTTAAAGTAAAGAAGCATTTGGGACCGATTACATGTAGAAAGTGATCTTCTAGGTAGATGATAAATACCGATACTTTTATTTAATATTATAGGTAGAAAATGATATTATATGTTGTATAAATGTGATGATACTTGGAGTATTGAGTGTTCCCATTCGTTTGAAGGAAATAGAGAGGTTTTGGGACCGATTATATTATATAATATTATAGGTAGAAAATAAATATGGATACCTGTATATAATATTATAGGTAGAAAATGATTTTTTAGGTTGTATAAATGTGCCGACACTTGTTGTAGTGGCCATTCAAATTCTATTGAAGACCAACCGTTTTACCACAAGAGTGGTTATCGATTTTTGTATACAAGTATTTGATTTGATTTGCGTAAACTGATAAATGAAGGAAAAATGAAGTCAATGAGTGGAAAGAAACCAAAGGGTGAATATATGTACTTCTAGTAAGTATCAATTTCTTTTTGTTATTATTGTTGAAATGGTAATTGGATTAAAGTATTTAGGAACTTTAAATTGATTACAAATTTTAAATGTTGATAGTATGGACGAATGCAAAATGATGAAGGAAGATGGCACACACAGCGGTTCGGTATGTAAATCGAAATTGACATTGAGTATTATTTAGCGTTAATGTATTGATTAAGAAACGTTTATGCTTAATATTAGGTGACAAAAAAAGTGAGGTCGAAATGGAATTTGATGAGTGATGCTAAAAAAGAACCTTACATCACACAGTCAATGAATGATAGTAAAGAATACAAAGAACGGAGGAAAGCACATGAAAAGAATGTATTCATTAAACTTGTAAATACGTTGATACAAGATATATAAGAACAATAACATTATATATTGTTAAAAAATGTAGGATGTGTCGACAAGGTGCGACATAAAAAGGGTGTATTCATTAATTGAACACCTTAAAAAGAATGATCAGTTGAATGTGCTGAGTGAAATGAGGTTTGAATCATTGAAAGGAGTAAAGGATCGACCAATTCAGAGGGAATTGTGTCGATCCTTGATGGAGCAATTTGATATCAAACAATGTATTGCTAAATATGGCGATTATTCATTCCCTCTGGGGGTATCGACTGCTGCAGCCGTCTTGGGGGTAGAAAACAAAGGCAAAAGTGTTGTAGAAGTCTATAGGAGTAAGAACTGGAAAGCACTTGCCTCCAAATATGGTTTGAATCATAAGGTGACATATGCTGAAGTTGAAAAGGATATCAAAAGCGGATCTTACCGGGGGAATGAGCTAAAGGCCCGAGTTCTATTGTACATTGTCGGGATATTTCTTTGTCCAACGGGTGATACGTCAACGAACAAGGACAATATGAAGCTCATTTGCGATGAAGGCTTGAATATGTCCATTCGAGATTGATTGAATCAATAATCACCTTTCAAAAGGGCAGCCAGAGATACCTCAAAGGGTGCATAGCAATCTTAGAGGTAACTGAGTTGAAGAATGTTTTTGTTTTTTTTATATAAAATGACGGTATAGTTATTATATAAAATGATTAATTTTATTATAAATGCAGGTTGCACTGTTCGATTATTGGTCGGGCTGTGATAGTTTGCCTGCTTATGAAAGACACAGAGTGGCACGCATCCGTGCATGGGGGAAGGAAGAGGTGGTTAGAGTGATGGCGAAGTTGAAGGTGGATAGACCGAGGAAGCTAGAAATGGTAATAAATGAAATTAAATAATATTAAGAATATAATCAATGTCTTAATACAAATTTAATTTTGAAGGTTATTTTCAAGATCGTAGAGGAGGTAGAGGAGAGGAAAGAAGAGATGGTTGGAGGGGTGGATGACGGTCAGGGGGATTACGGTCAGGGAAAACAGAGTAAATTCGACATTTTGATGTCTAAATTGGTTGATATTAAAAAAATCATTTTTGATAGTCATCAAAGACAATCAAGAGTCGAAGAGACACATGAAAGGCATAAGATGGAAGTGGAAGTAAAGATAGATGTATTGGTGAAAAAAGTTGAGGTGTTGAGTGGTGAAGTTAATATGTTGACGGGTGGAAAAATTGATGGAGTTGTCAAGGAGGTTGTGGAAATAAGGAGTGAACTTTCGGGGGTGAAGGAGGTGGTTCAGAAAAACTTGGATGAAGGGGGGAAATTGAAGGGTGAAATAAAAGAGATGAAGAGCTATGTAGAGAAAAAATACGATGAACTGAGAAAATTTGAAGAAGAAAAGATAGAGGAAGAAGAAAGATGGAGGAAATGAGGAGAGGATTCACTAACATATAACGGAGAGTGTTATAGATGCAGATTTGGATTCGGAATATCCTCCACCCCAGAAGAAGAAGAAGCAGAAGGTAAGTTGAATAAAAAGCTTAATTAGAATCGGGGTAAGTCACTTATATTGCTTTGTGAGTGATATTTAAATATTTCATGAAAAGATATTAATCATGAAAAGATATTAATCCTAATGATTCATATAGATATATTGTAATCTCAATGGGAAATCAATACGCACAAGTATCCGACGTTGCAAAGTTGAAGCCTATGGAATGGGTTGGCGGTGTGGTAAGTAGAAATCAATTAAAAGACAAAACCTATTGAATATGTTCTGATTGTTTAATTAATTTTGTTAGGTTATTGATTTGCTCACCTGAACAGTATGCTACGATTCTAAAAAGTCAGGCCGGATGATTGGCTACATTCCATACCACTTAGCGGTGAGTTAAATTAATAAATGTTGAAAAGTAATGTTATAGACGATAAATTAATAATGATTGTCACGTAATTGCAGCAACAGAAGTTGGACAACAACGATAATGTTGAGGGTATTGCGAGCTTTTGGGGTTATATGAAATTCACCAACTATGAGAAGGTAGACACCATACAAATAGGCATAAATGATGTTTTTGGATATATAATGTTGAATTTTGTCAAATTGTGTGTGAATTTTTTGTAGATCATGATCACAATAAACTATAATAATTCACATTGGTGTCTGTTGGTGTTGGATATGAAAAATCGTGTTGGAACTGTATATGATAGTCATGTTGCCTAACTATATGAAATTCACCAACTATGAGAAGGTAAGACACCATACAAATAGGCATAAATGATGTTTTTGGATATATAATGTTGAATTTTGTCAAATTGTGTGTGAATTTTTTGTAGATCATGATCACAATAAACTATAATAATTCACATTGGTGTGTTGGTGTTGGATATGAAAAATCTGGAACTGTATGATAGTCTGTTTAAATCTGAAGCAGCTAAACAGAGAGTGAATGATGCTAAGAGATTGGTATGTATGAAAGGAAATTATGTAAATTATAATGCAATTTGTTTGGATCATAACTTCATATTTTTTAATGCAGATGAAATATTAGATAGTTATAATGAGAACACATTTGGGTAGAAGCATGGGCTCTCTAGGAAAAGTCCCCTTGCAAAGTTTCAAATTCGTGGAGCATAAGATGACCGAACAATTGAATGGATATGATTGTGGCATCTATGTGATGATGTGGATGGAATCGATCGGTTCTAGCGGGGCTACTGGTGATTTTGTAAGTAGAATTAAAAATTAGTTTGCCGTTACATTGTTAAAAGTCGTAGATTGAATGTTGTGGTTTACAATACTTAACGTACTAACAATTTGAATATAGGTTGTTGGAGAATGGGATCGTATGCGAATATTAAATGATCTTGTATGCCACAATCAAAATCAACTA